ATTAAAAAAATATTAAATTTTATACCCAAAAATTTTCAATAAATATTTCAAAAAACAGCAAATTTTACGAAATATTAAAAAAAAATTCCGAAATGCAAACCTCCGTTTTCTTTCTCTCTTTTCAACTCACCTTCGATGCCACACTGGGCGAGAGTAAATGCTGCGAACAGTTGGTGTCATTCGATTCCTCCCGATAGTTTATGAATGGATCGATGCGTACAACTGGTTTGATGCATAAATTATTGCTATTGCTGTTGTTGCTATTATGCAATGTACCAGCATTTAAATTGTTATTGCGACTCTGTTGATGTGTTGGACTACTCAAACCGATTTTGTTGTTGCCACTGTTAATGCTATTACTGTTATGACTGTTACTGCTGTTATTGACAGCGCTGTTGTTGCTATTTGAATTTGGTGTATCTGGCGATGAGGAGCTCGTGTTGGAATCGAGTGAACTGTAGTCATCGGGCAGGAAGCCGTAGGAGTAAGAGGACAGACCCAATAGCATTTCACCACAAAATGGTGCGGTGTCGTCCAGGCGCATGCAAGCATCAACAGCAGTTGGAGCCAGGTGTGCCAAGTCATCGGGTTCTTCTTTGAGCACTGCAAGGAAGAGCGAAAAAGAGACACAATTAAAGTATTGAGTTATAATTGAGGTGGTGTGGAAAATATTATTTCATTATAAAATATAATTATGGAAATATGTGAAGAGATGTGTGAATGTGTGTGTGTGTATGTATGTTAATAAACATAATGATTAAGCGCATTATTCTAATTGCCTACTATATCAAGTTGCACCTCCTCTATTTTTGCACCCTAGTTCTAATATATAGCTAAAAACAAAAAAATTAGAGCAGAATTTACATTGTTGCACGTGTTGCATAAACATTAGCATCTAAATATTATTATAATTTCAAATTTGTAACAATCCAATGTTTCTTTCTTTTCGCCTCTGTCCACTGGTGCTGTCGTTACTCATTTAATTGACAGATTTCAATTGAGTCTAATTAAATTTCATCTGAATTAGTTGATTTATTAGAATTTTATTGAGGTTTATTATTTTTGTAGTTGTGGCCTGCCGAAAATTCAGTATATCTAAATTTTTCTCCTACAGGGTTAATTTTTAAAGTTATGGAGTGCCATAGCGAGGTAACTGTCAAACCAACTGTCAAAGTGAATATATGTGTTTAAGTTGAATATACTTTTGGAAAGCAAAAGTTTTACAACGTAAGAGGAACTACAACTTGTGGAAATTGTTTTTGCTTTCTGAATATTTTAGATAAACTTAAGTGAACAAACAAATTTTAGATCTAATGGTTATGTAAGTAAGTAAAATTTTTATGTTTGATATTTGTAGGGACTTTTCAAGCTCTCTTCTACCCAAAAAAAAAGTCTTAGTCGCCGAAATCAGTATTGGACCAACTTCTTTAAAAACACATATGTGGAGTTATCTAGAAATGGGCCTGTTATATGACTAATCAAGTCATGTGATTTGTCTCCGTTAGACAATATTTTATTGGAGAACATGAAAAATGTAATAATAAATATTGCGAAACAAACCAAAATTCGATGCACTATTGTCGAGATTAAACGAGTAGATATACGACCATATATTCGAAATATGGCAACTTATTGGCCATTCCATTTTTCTGTGAAATGAAAACTTGAATGTAAATATGATATAAAAGTGACACACTCTAAAAAAAAACACCCTTTATATATCTGAATTTGCATATGAGTAAGGAAAATTTTAACCGAAAATTTAACTGAAACACCAAACATGTTCACCATTCAGGTGTCAATTAAATAAAATTCAAATTATTGGCACAACTGAGAAATCTAAGAAATAGTATACTATGGTATATTTCCATGGATTTATGTGCCTACATACATACATATGTAGATGTATGGTGTTATTATATTTCTGCAAATGGAGTTTTGACTTGACAGTTATTTAACCGAAAATTTTACTAAAACACCAAAAAAAGACCACCGTCTTTTCATTATTATATTTCAGCAAATGGATTTTTGTCACACTTGACATTCATTTCTACACAATATAACAATTAATGAAAGTACCTCAGCTTGATTTCACCACTTCCTTTTTATGATGTTATAATTTTTCCATTGCTTTTAATTTAAATTAACAATTGAATATTTAAAATACTCCATAGATATTGGAATCACTTCAATACCTTATTACAATTCATTGTGAAATAGGACATTTTGGTAAGAAAAAAGCAACAAAACAATAAAATATTAACTTTGTCATCCGTCATCCATTATGGGATAAGTGCTTAGCCGTTATGCGATAACCTAGAACCCACAACTGTTATCTCAACTGCTACTCCAAAACATAAAACCTGCAATCACAATCTATTCGCAAAGAAGTGGAGTAATCTTCTTAATTTCGCTTTTGACAACTTCGAAGCATGATAACGATTACGCCCACCGTATACAAGTACTCATAATTCGAATAATAAAATGCGTGCATGTTAATCAACACTACGCTATAAAAAAAAATATCGAAAGCCGCCACTCGAAAGACTTTTCAAGTGTGAGAACTCGAAACTTTCCAACACTCTTGCAGATGCGATCTTCAACAAGCGATCACTAAGCACAGTGGGATATGCCAACTAAAACTAGAGACGCTGTTAAAAATACACCAACAATGTGCTTTTAAACATTATACACACCTTCAACGGCAAAGAAAAACAAAATATTTCGCTAAAAATAATACCAGAAATAAGAAAATAGAGGAAAGTACCACACACAGGAAGACGCTGTGTGCCGAAGAGAGTTCAAGCGGACAACGCAGACAAAACGACACTTTCGGAACACATAAGTAAGTATGTATGTATATATTATTTATAAGACAGTGTGAGTTTGTGTACCGTTTAGATTTATGCCATAGAGTATTCATTCTAATCTTGCATTGCTTACGTATGGGCAGATACATAATAGAACGCGTCGATTTTTGTTAATTTTTTCTATACAAAAAAAAAAAAAAAAAAAAAAAAAAATGCGGGAAATGTTCTGAACAACTTTGTCTGAGAGCATCTGGTTCTAAAACCAATTTCGAGCCAGTGACTTTTTGAATGACGATTCACTTTTCGGGATTATAAAAATTTTTTCGTCAGTTTTCAGATATCTGTATTAGATTTAAAGGTGCATTTTGACATTCTATTAATTATTCGTCGCATTCGACCAGGTCGGACAACTAAATCACATATCTCCCATACAACTTCCACAAAAAGAAGAGAAAGATATATAAAAATATCATAAAAAATAATAATAATAAAGA